GTATCTCCCTTAAAGTCTAAAAATAACACGAACCAAATACGGCAAAATTCTTAGGCAAGTCTCATAAACAATTCAGCAAAGTTACAGAATAATTCGCGTGTATCATTTAGCGAACATCCCTTATCAGTGTCGGGTCACCAGTGATCGTCGTGGCGGCGGAGAACGTGTCGAGAAATTGCTGTTATTACACTGTGTTAAAAGGATCAAGAATCCCGTCCACGGGTTTGGTACCACAATTCTGTGTCGGTTGAATGAAGTCCATCCTCTCGAAAGAGTAACTTCGCTACTTTTACTTTCGGTGCGGTTCGCCTGTCTGTATTACGTTCTTGTTCCCGCCGGATTTCGCAGTTACCCACGTCGCGCGCGCAACCTTTGTCCATGGGATCAAGCGGTTTAATAACATGATTCAAGGAGCGGCAGCCGATTGGTGCATTAAGGTCAGGCTGGGTCGTGGTGTATAAAGATAATAGCTCAGCCACCGACCGATCGACCATAAGGCGCGGAATGAGTTCTCTTCGTGTCCGAGTATGTAACGCGCGTGAGAGATTCATTAAGGCGCGCGTCGAAGTTTAGGAAACATGTCTTTCGCAATCCCTTCGACGCCTGACATTTACGTGTTAAAAGTGGCTGAGAGCTTGGGGGGTTCCGTGCGAAATAAGTTCCCTTAACGGCGGCCAACTCGATAATTATCGGTTGAAAGAATACAGAAAATGAAGATGTATTCTTCGACTAATTGCGAATCGTTTAGATCAATTTAAAAGGGTAACAATAAATTGGACAGACGCTTATTTGTCTGATTCAATGTCTTGCACAGTTAAGAATGATATAATAACTTTATTAAAAGTTCCTGTCGGGTTTATATTTATGTATTCTGCATAGTGCATAATGGTGTAAGTGTGGTGTCAGTCGAATCCGCTTGTCTAGGGTCTACTTTACAATGACACTAAAATCATTTCTCTCTGACTGTATAATATAGTATGTTATGAAATTAAGATTACTTTCTAACCTCCTCTCAGCAATAACAACCGAGTGTACGTACACGTTCACGAATCCTCAGTACCTCGTCCATAGATCGTGAGAGCATCGTCCAGCCGAGAGTAATTCGCCGATGATTCCGGGCATCGAAGGAAATCCTGTCCACCAGAAAGTCGGCTTTCGGGGGTTCCCACTAATGATGAAATCGAGCGATCGAACGGCTGGCCGACCGTCGATCGAGGCGAACCGAGGGTCACCGAGGGGGTCAGGCCGCGCAAAAATAATAATCAATCGAACGAGCCGGGCAATTACGCGGTGGCGGCGGTGCTTGTGCTGCGGTTTGCCCCCCTTGGGCCAGGTGAGACGAGGACAACCAAAGCCTTTCCCTCCCGCCTTTAATTCGACGTGGATCTCTCCCTTCCGCCACCGCCCTCCTCTATCATAACCCCAACCACACTCCAGACTCCCTCGCTTTATTATTAAAAGTTCAAATTCCGCTGGGAGTCGATCTTGCGGCGAGCCAACACCCGCCTGCGTCCTCCCTTTCCACCTCTGCTGGTTCTTCTCCACCGAGCTTCTTCTCTGTACACCCCTTGTATACGGGGCCCCCGTCTTTATAAAGTCGTGCAAACACTGCCGATGATCTTCAGCATCCGGCTGACATTTCGTAGCTCCGCAGACACCGGTCTTTCGGCTCTCTGCCGTTTTAAGTGACGTCCTGTTAGAGAGGTCGAGGCGTTGAACCGCACGGTGAGAAGCTAAACGTTGGAGGCTGGGAAATTTTTGGAAAGGTTATGGTTGCAGAGGTATATTCGTACACTGTTATATTAAAGGTCGACAGACTTTGATGCACTTTTAAAATTAGTGTTGCACCGGTGCAACAGTGGGAGTTAGAGGGTTAACGACTTATTCATAATTCGTCTTACGAAACTGCTTCACAGCAATTCAGAGAATTCCAGATATTCGAAGCTTTAGACTTTAAAGTTTAGAGCTACCGTGACATGTTCGAAAAATATTCACGAGACAGAACACGAAGACGGGCACCGATATATATACACGTACCTTCAACTAGAATTTTTCGAGCGCCCTGGTCGGTGTACCATTCGGCAATAAAACTCGTGCGTAGGATCCCGTGCTCGTTCCAGCGGCGATTTTTTCCCCGGTACCCGTACATCGCCAGGCGGAATTGTCGAAAGGCGGTAAAACTGTCCCAGCAATGGAGAGAGAGAGCAGCCGCGAATTACGCGCGAGTCGATTGGCCGTTTACTCGTTAGGGACTGATTGAAAACGCGCGAATGGAATATTTAAACGGAACAGGAGTCGGCCGGGGCGTTGCGTCCGGTCGGAAAACCACAGGCTCGTTTCCTCGTCCGCGACAATTCGTTGCCATCGAAAACGTACGGCCGCGGAAACATTTTGAGGCTCTATAAACAAACGAATCGCGTGGCCACTACAGAGGTCCTGTATCCGTGGTTCCTGGGAACCTTGATTCGTGTTCCCTCGCCGAATTGACCGCCATTTTGAGCGTTCTCCAAGTGGATACAGAGGTAAGAATGACGAAAGTTTACACGCCTTTGGTTTATGAGTTATGCAGGGTTTGTTATTTTAGAAAATTAGTCCGATAATTTTTGAAGAAGTAGCACGTGAATATAGATCTTGCTCTCACTGATTTACGTAGGTACGATATATTTAATGCGATATGAACTAAGGTTTGGGAAATACGGAACATCAGGTGCTTTAATTCTTGTTAATTGTGCTGGTGATTATGAAAGTGGTCTACAAAAAATTGAATTTTTCTTTTGTTTTGTGATATATTGATTTATATTTCGGTACCAGGGAAGAATTTTCGAAACGAAATGTACGTGACCGACGCTAGTTTCATGGCACAATTATTACATGAATATCCACGCCACTTTTGTAATCACCGACACAATTATTACACTATTAAGGAACAGTAGTCGAAGATTGCAGACATTAACTGCGAAATGGACGAAATTGAAACGTTCGTAATCTGTTTCTCTACTTCCAGACGCAATTCGTGTAATACCATATCATTAAATACAGAACGCAATTATCGCAGAGAAACCGGAATTCTGTAATTCATAGCTTTCTTAAACAATCTGTTAACCTCCTGATCCTAATAATGTTTGATCTCGCCATACAGTCGATTACAAAAGTATTCGGCCACCTTAGGCATTAAGCGAATTTTACGTAAAATTCATGCAAATAGGATTTCGTATGGTTCTTTAGTTTCAATTCTAAAATTCCATATAAAATTCACTTAAGGGATCACATACATTTGACGGATCGGTAAATGGGGTTATCTGTATGAATTTTTTTTTTCATGTAATAAAATATTCTGTTTAACAATCAAGATGTACATATGATGTATGTTTCCGACAAGACCCCACGTAAATATCAGTGTTATTTCCCAAGATATCATAATTCTTTTAGTAAGAGAATACAGCATAATTTGTACACAAAGAGATGTGCATCTTGAATCACAATTAAATGTTTTTTTTGCATAGGAAAAAAAAATTCATTAAAAGGAGCCTATTTTCCAACCTGTCGAAGGTATGTAAACCCCTGAATGCCTAAGGTTGCCGAATACTTTTGTAACCAACTATACATATATGTATCAATCGAAATTCGATTGGACGTCGATAAGCCGCCGCGCGAAAAAAATCATCCTCTCGACATCTAATTCACTAAAGGTACACGTGTAAAGGCATTCAAAAGACTACTGTCTTCGTGCACGATATCGCCTCGCCCAATATCACGCGCGCGCGTTGCCCCAATAATTTGTCCGCAGACGATTTTTTTTCTTGGCTCGTTTGGCCCAAGCGCAACTACAAATTGTTCCGGGAACGCGATCGAATCGATCCCCCCTCGGGATCGGAGGGGCGTTTTTTCGCCTGGATCGTTTCGGGATCGTTTAACGACTCGGCCGCGACGCGATGTGTATAGGTAACCGCCCTCGAACGATCGGCCACGACGACGAGACGCAAACGGTCGATCGCGAGTGTAATTCGGACTCACGCGATTACGTATTATGCTAAACACGCGAGAATGGCTTTTTAAATGGAACATCTACATTTATGCGCCGTCCCTGGCCGATCGAAATCCCCCCACCTATTGCATGGCCGTCGAGCGCGGTAAGCACCGGCGAATTAAACGCAATTTTCGTCCACGGCGAGGTATGCATAACAAATTGTCGACGGAGTCTCGAACGTCTTTATACTTTGAAAACGGGTCCGGCCCAAGGGATCGTTATGCACGTAGCACGGGGGCAAAGGGACGGGTTGCTTCCGTCCACCGTCGATCGATTACAATCCAATTATTATTCTCTGCATAATACCTATCCCTTCCCCCCCCCCCCTGGAGTCGTTCGTGGTCCACCGTGTACTCACCTGCCCACGAATCTGGCTGGATCCTAATCGGTCGCGTTTCGCGGATAATAAGGCCGAAGATGGGGTGGTCGAGGAACGGCTGAAGGGACCAGGGTGTCCGCGAAATTGAAAATTAAACGTCTCGCTGGCTACCGGGAATCCTTGATCGATATTCTTGAATCGTGGATTTTGTTGTGCACAGTATGGATTTTTTTTTTTAGGATAATATATGGATAAAAATTCAATCTCCACAAGAGAAATGTTGAAATAATTCAAATTACAGTGATCGAATTGGGTATTGTTTCTGCGGCGTAACCAGCTGTGTAATATAACGTACTCGTATATTGTCCCGCAGTGGATAATTCCATTTACCGGAAAAAAGAAAATTAAAAGCTGGGCCAATAGTTCTGGAACGTCTTGTATAACGTCTCCCCTTCTTGCGTATCTGCTCACCTGACTATGATAATGAGACCGAGGAATAGGGCCGATCGGTAGGATCCAGAAAGGAGATGGGTGTTGTCCGCGAAATTGAAAATTGAACGTTCCGCCGCCAGCTACCAGGGGATATTTTCGTTTTAACCGGCGATATGCTTTTTCTGTTTCATGCGCTGCCCGGGCATCATCTCGCTCCGCCAGGATCCAACGTCCGTGAGTATGGGTTATTAAGTATCATGAAATGTTGCACACTGTGTATATCGGGCCACGAGGTAAGAGAGGCAGGCAAACGAACGGGTTTCTTTCCAGTCGCGGACCCGATTCTCTCGGTCGTACCGCCGAAAAAAAGTCTCGCGGGTATCGCGTTTCACTTATTGCGGGCCATCGCTGGCCCGTTTCGATCGCGACGCTTGAAATGTGGAACGAAAGAGAGACTTTGCAAAAATTCGGCGCTTTCCACGAGAGTTTCTCGTGTGTGGAGTAAGTTTTTTCTGAATTGATATCTCGACGACAATGATGAACGGTGTTACAAGAGACGGGATCGAATGAAGAGTAGGGGAAAGGTGTCCGAAACGATCCCTCCGGGTAAAATGATTCCTGGCTGCCCTGTGGTTATTAGTGGTGCTATATCGTAATATCATTCTACAATGGTTCTCCAGGAATCATTATACCCATATGCTTTATTATTGTGTTTTGTTTTAGTTACAACAATGCCCCGTCAATATGAAAGAAAACAAAGCGTCAAAGCTGTTTTTATTTAAATAAAATGTAATAACTGAAATGCTTTTTAATGTTCATCGTATTTACTATCAATAGGTATAAAGATCCCCGGGGATCATTTTATACACATACATTTCAAAATAATCCTTAGTATGCCTTCAATGAAATGTGAATAAAAAATATAATTGATCAGGTAGCTAAATTTTATTTGAGCCAGTGATAAGATAGATAGACTAACTTACAAAAACTACTTTAGTCTTATTTAAATAATGAGTATTTGTATTTTTTACATAAATTACGCCTTAAAGGGATCGTTTTAGTCACCTTTCCCCTACTTTGAAGACGATCGAATCTTGTTGAGAGTATAAATTAGACTGCAAAGCTGCGTCTACGCTGTATAGCAGAACAGTATTATATAACAAACTGTTATACAAGCTTGCTATATACAGTATGTTTTTATATTGTATTACCAGATTATACCTTTTGGACAAGTCTGTAACAAGTTTGTATAACACTTCGCATCTCATTAGTAATAATGACGGCACACTTGATGGATAACATACAACTTGCTATATAACACGGAAAATGTTACATAACACCATGCTATATAACATTTTTCTTTCTGTTTTTTCTAACAAGTTTTTATAACTTCGTTATATAACGTGTTATGCTGTATAGTGTAGACGCAGCTTAACGTAAATATGGAATTGATTCGTTGAGTAATATATGAGATAAAGTAGATTACATTTTTTAACTGCCTGTATAACTCTGTCATTTAAAATTCAATTTCCTCTCAGTTATTACCTCGGAATATTAGTACACTGTCATACTTATCATTTCAAAGTATGACACTAAGAAACAAGCATCCCGTGTCGATTACATTGCACTCGAAATGTCAGGAGTCGCAATCTAAAGGCAATTTCCACCTGCAGAGGCGTCACATTATCTCGACGATCATCCGATTAACGATTACAGTTGCAATCGGTAGTCATGAATGGGTATCGATAACAACTCGGTGAAACCGCTCCCCTCGCCAGGGGCATTCTTGATCTCAAGCTTTCTGTTTCATGTCTCGGCTACCATCCACCGGTCCGGACCCCGATGCATCAAATCGCCGACGGAACCGAACCGAATATCAGGGCGTAAGTACCATTCAGATTCCTACGCCGTCCGGGTAATAGCATGTTATCGATGCGCCTCGAAGGAGGTCGCGTATCAAAATGGCGCCATTAAATGCAACACATCGCTTTCCCTCCGGTCCGTCTTGACTCACGTATGCAAACAGTGTGTGCACGTATACCTGGCAAGATCAATCCGACAAGTAAAAGATCATTTTGTTGCAATCCAGCGCGAATCAGCGGGATGAGGGGTGGTAAGTGGCGGAGGGAAAAGGGGGAGGGACAGGACGAGCGTTTACATGCACGAATCGATAATTTTCGAAATGTCCGAAGAACGATCCATGAAGTCGTGCCTTCCCACCCCTCGTACATTCTAGATGGCGGGGCGGCATCGCGTGAACACGGCTACTTATTGAATCCTCTTCTGGCCGCGCGCAACTAGCCACGATGATGCAGGGAAAACGGCGCGCGGAACCGTCGACTAATTACTTAAGTAATAATAATCCTCCGGGCGAGGGAGCGACGATCCTTCGGTGTAATTTATCCGCGGAACCTTCTTCCCCGCGGGCATTCGCGAAGTCGCGAGAAAAGCCGGCCAGGCACGCGATATCAGTCTTCTCGCGTGTACACACCACAGACGGAACTGCCGTCGTCCTGTAAACCGGCCGATTTTAATGATCCTCCTGGGACGCGATTGTGAAAATTGTGCTTAGAAATTGTTTCGCGAAGCATGAACCTGCGATTCCTTGTGATTCCTCGTGAAAACAAATAAGAAAAAAGTATGGAATAAAATTTTGTCATTCTCGGCTTAGTTGTCGAGAAAATCGAATTGGTAATTAATCTGAAACGCGTGTGTATTCGGCGCGGTAGTAAGTAGAAACGGACTGCAATGACTAGACGTGTTAGCAAAGTCCTATTCGATAATTGAACGGGTTATTGCACGCGTATCAAAAAATTTCTTTGGTAAGTATAATCTATGCAATACTTGGAATTGGATTCTTAGGTTTCACCGTTTGGGCTCATCGTATATTTACTATTGGATTAAATGTAGATACTATTCAAAGTGAATTTTCTCGAAAACTAAGCCGAGAATGATACAATTTTATTCTGCATTTTTTTTCTTATTTTTTCATAAGGAATTCATGCGGTGCCCGTTTTTTCATATTATTCGACCGGACTCTGTATATACCGTGCACGCGTGTGTGTCTTTCCATGCACGACCGCCGCCGTCGTAATCGGCCGATGGATCGAGAGGCCCGCGGTTAGCTCTCAATTAACCGGCAGATTTCTATCGGGGCCAGTCCATCCTTCTCCGGTCCCGCGATTATCGCCCGCCGATTGTATAATGAGCCGCGATCGTCGCCGCGACTCGACACGAAATTATGGACACCGAGATCGCGGAGATTCATTTCGAATCGATCGAGTGATGATGGGGATCGTTACGCTTGCGATCTGCGTCGGTACCAGTTGTGTTGTGGGTATCTGAGTGCTATCGGTAACAGATTCTCCGATTTTGATAACAGGGAGACGACGACGATGATGATGATGATAGGAAAGAAATACACCCAGCCCAGGAATATTCATCTTTTAGATTGACTACCTGAGAATTTTGTCGAGTTGTTACGTGCACTCGTAAGTAGACTGCGGAAGTTTATGTAAATTCACAATATTTAAAAACTCAAATGGGACAAAATTCTGAATTCTGCACCAGAGGCTTCTCTATATTAATAACAACCCTTAAATGCAATGAAACTTTATCAAAATCTTCAGTTGCTTGTACTTTCCATATTAAGAGTCACTATAAATGCATAAACATCCACAGTCTACTCATCATGACGATCCAATGAAACAATATCTGATACCTCCACGAGCCCACGCGATCAATTCCACCAGCTCGAAATCTTCTCCACACTAACCCAGCTCCTTCCATAGGTATACTTCAATTTTTTCCACAAAAAATTTGCATTCTCCTTAAAATTCACCCGCGTCCGATCCCAGTGAAAAGGGTACGCATCGACGAGCCGAACGGCCTTCGGACTAAACCTGCGGGAGGAAAGAACGAAGACGAAGGGAAGAGAGAAAAAATTCCGCGATCGGTATCGGGGCGCGCGTTTCACGCATCGAAGATGGAAACTCGGGGGCCTCGCGGCTCGCAGCCGCTTGTACAAAACCGGGGGACGGGTTGGGGGGGATAGGGCCCTGGGGCCCCTCTCGGGAAGCGAGGCCACGAATACGAAATGACGGGACGGATATCTGACGTCTCTATAGCAGTAAAACGGCGGGCATACGTGGCCCCGTCGCCGCGACGGGGGTCCCAGAGACGTCGTCGGAGACATCGAGCGCCGCGGGCGGGCATTGTCTCAAGGGAGTCCCAAGGGCGAGGCCCGTAGAACCGGGGCCCGCAACCCCAGGCTGACACGCACGAGGGGGTCGCAAGCATCCCGTCGGGGGTCCTCCCCCACCCCACCGAACTAAATTAATAACCGAATCTCTGCCCGAGTGTATTCCTATTTCGGGCGAGGAGTTATCGGTCCAACGGCCACTTGAACTGCCGCGAGCCCCGGGGCCCGGACTGTTACACCCACGCGTTGTGTCCCCCCTTTGGCCGGTGAAACGAATGTTATACCCTCTGCCCCGGCCACGCCGAGTGACTTACGACCCCGATAAACGATATTTACGGCGTAATCGTTAATTAAAATATATTGGCCGTGGCTCGCCGGCCGGAAACGGATTCGCGTGAACGCGTGTCCGACGGGATCTTAATGAGGCCCCGGTTGGTACGTCTCTGTTAGGTTTTCTTATTTGCCACGGCAGACAGTTGAAACGCTGTGTCATGCCACAGTGGTCCGTGAACAAAATTTCGTAGCTAAGATTGGTCGAAAAGAAAATTTCTTTTATCTTCTTTTCATCTACAGTAAGTGTCAAATATTACGAAAGCGCTGGATGTCTAAAATAATTATTTAGGGGATATTAAAAAAATTAACGTGGCCTAAACTATGTAATTTTTATGAAGCATTATACTTTATTTAACGTTCTAAGTATCCTAATAATTATAAGCATTTGTCGTTTAATTTCCACTCGGATGGTCTCACATCAGTGCAACGAGCCCAATTCTGAAACCGTATTCTTTATCACCAGCAGAGAAATAAATTCGCACTAATTGATTTTACGAGTATTAAACGTCACATTTAAACTCCACGCAACCTACCAAGATAGAGACAAACTCGCATTACCGTTTCATATCAAAGGTTCCTTCGATCACCGATGCTCACTATCGCATCGCCTGGCGATTAACAGCAGGCATATACAGACATCCCCGCGATAATCCTGCCGCATTTTCATATACATAATACCTATCGCCGGTCGGGCAATTTGT